GGTGCTCCGACGTCTGGGGTTGCGGACACGACTCATTACCCGCTGTGGGGGGGAAGAGTTATGGGTAAGTGAGCGACAAGCAGCATTGTTGTGTCCCAGTGACAGGAGGGCAGCTGCTCACCAATGAGTAAGAGGGCGGCGTCCATCACTGCTGCTCCGTTCAGCATGGTGGCCATCAGGATGTCGTGACCAGGACAGTCCACAAAGGAGACATGCCTGTGGGGGAGAGGCAGGGTGAGACACCAGCGCCTCCTACTGGAGACCCTGCAGGTTCAGGGCCCCGGTGTTCACTCCCCAATCCTAGTTTACCATCACTGTCCACAATGAAAAACAGGAATCTCTGAAAATACATTACTTAAGAAGCGTGAAAAAACACATTTTTGCAGAAATTACTTTATGAACTAGCCCATAATGTAATGAGATACGCTTAGCACCACAAACAGAAACCTATCTTTACATAGCCGTCAGTGAACATATGACATATGTGGATTAAATGAGCAAATATGTCAGTGTCAACAAGATACAAACTCTCTTGGCTCTCAGCGGAGGCGGACGCACTTTTCTCCCTCTCCCTCCCCTTATCGTCCCTGCTTTGCTCCTCTCGTCTCGTCTAGTATAGTATACTGTCATACTTTGAGAGACTCTCTCAGCCCTGCTCTCCAAACTAAGAAAATCATGGATTTGATCAACTGGTCTCTCAACGCAATTGACACCATCTTCTTGATGAGAAGCCCAGGTTCGGGGGAACCTGACTGTCCTGCAGGAATGTACGCAGCTGGCTACACGATGGACGGATGGGAGAAGTGGAGGGTCGTGTATCTTGCAGCTCTTTCCTTGGAGGACATCGAAGATATCTACCTATTCGGAACCATGATTACAGGTCTTATGCTGGTTGGATTAGGTTTATCGAAGATTGAAGAAAATGGTGACAGCCGCTTAAAGCCCCACTAGGCTGGCCAGGATGACAGAGCTGTTGGCACTCAGACTGTGACTATTGATCGCAAATTGGATAACATCACTGTGACTATTGATCGCAAATTGGATAACATCACAGAGAAGCTCACGGCTTTGTAAAGAATTTTGGATGGCGGAGACCAGCATGGACATTAGAGGAGCTGCAAAATTACAGCTTCTCGCTCGAAAACCCAAACAACCCGATCCTATCTGCTTTTGGCTCCCCCCTAATCAGCATTGGCCTCGGACAAGGCCGCTGCTTAATTAAGAACTCCCCCAGAAGAGCAAGGCAGTGAGACTCTCTTGCATTCCTCTCCCCCAATCCCAAGGACACCTTGATACACACACACATATACATACGTACAGATACGCACTCACCACACCCTCCCCCCATCCCACGCCTTCGCCGCTTCATACCCCCAGCGTGAACAGGCGGGTCTGTGACCAGCGCCTCGGGCTGCAGGACCGGATGGCTGTTTGTCTATGCTGGACTACCTCCACCTCCCCATTTCCCTCCGCTGTTGCAAGTCACGACTTTTTATGTTGTAAGGTGTAGTGACTATGTGCTTATGTTGCTGAGGTGTTTTTTTCTGTTCCTACATTGTACTCCCTACTGGAGTACAGTTTGGGGGCTGTTTTTTTTAATTCTCCTCCTCTCTCCTCATGTAATTCTGTTTTCTGTGACCTTCCTATATCCCCCGTCTTCCTGACCTGTCTACCCCCTATAATGTGATGTTTGTATATATATGGTCGGGTTGATGGCCAGTTTTTCGCTGGTACTTGTGACTAGCGACATGGTGTATTGCAACAGCAATAAAGGTTTTCATCATAATCTAGCTTTACATTCACAGTGAGCAATGATGTCAGTTATATAGCTATCAGCAATGCTAAAATTTGAGATTGAAAGTAATAATACATATGGGCATCATGAATACAAATTTCTAACTAGTATAAACAAATATAAATTATATAGATTACTTCATAAGCGATTTTCTCACTGGTCAATTATTTCTCAAATATCAGGAGACAGAGAGAAATTCCATCTATAATGAAAAGTTACCATTGTTGAAAAGTGGGCGCGTGTGCGTCAGACAGCAGGGACAAGACGACATAATATGCCTCGCGTTGTTCTGACCCCCTCAGTCAGTATATTCACATGCACAGCTAAGTCGAGCTACGGTCATAACTGGACTATGCCATTTAATCAGGCTACTGTCCCAGTATACATACATGGGAGGGGAATCGATTTATTGACCGAAGTATGTCTGACTCTGCTACTATAGGTGGTGATATGGCTCCTTTCATCTTGTTAGTATTGGGCTTTTTCCAGTTCACATATTACATCACAGATATAAGAATGGATACCTGGATTAAATGACATAAGCTTTAATTGTGATCTGGTCAAAGGACAGATAAAACAAGATTGCAGAACAAGAAATAAAGTATTTTGTATAATATTCTATGACAGCACGGTATTCTTCAAATATTGCAATGTGATTTTGTTGTAATAAATATTGAGGTATCTATGAAACGAAAAAAGGAGTTCAACATAAATTTCTCACAAACCCATCTAGGAGTGATTTGAACAGCAAGGACGAAAATGATTATGATTATCTTGGAGAACACATGCAGATCTCATGCAAAAGCAGCGGAGGTAAACTTTAAACTGATTTTTAAACATGGGTGGAGTGGTGGCTCTGAGGCTAGAGATCTGTGCCAGTAACTGGAAGGTTGCTGGTTTAAATCCTGTAAATGCCCAGAGTTATTCTACTCCATTGGGCCCTTGAGCATGGCCCTTAATCTGCAATTGCTGCTTCCTGGGTATGACGTTAATCTACATCCAGCCGTATAAGGAGGTCCTCCAACTTACAGGGAAAAAACTTGGGGGTTGGTGGCAAAATTTGCACTCCAGCCACTGGAAAAAATTCACACTGGTCCATTTGGACTAGTGTGGTGCTGAGGTATCACATGGCTGCACTCAAGTTTTCAACCCTGAGGTGGCTTGTCATGTGATGAATGTGGCAATGCGCTGCATCAGTGCATGCTCCTTACGTCTCTCCTCTTTAAAAATGTACTAGATAATGTTGAAAAGGAATAATCATTAAAACGCTAAACTTGCAAGGTTGTTTTCCTACGACAGAGTAAAAATGTTTTAGCAAGACTTAAACTCCCTGCGCTTTAATAACCATGTCAAACTGAAGGTAAGAAAAAGCCTGATTTTAATCTCGCTAACTAGCGATGTAGGAATTGGATGTGCACAACATGCAATGCTGATATTAAAATCGCATGTCACCTCGCTTTGTGATGTCATTTCCCGCCGGTACCGGTCTTTACACCAGTGGAAAACCAACACCTTTAAGTACCATAGTTTTGATACCTTCTTAAAGTACCAAAAGTACAGTACCTGGTGCGGTGGAAAAGTAATTTTTGCTTGAACTGGACAGCTTCACAGCAGTGTACATTTCATATGCTGCACGTCCTCTGCTATGCTCCAGACTTCTTCTGTTACTTACGGGTCAAAGCCCAGGGACAGAAACTGTGGAGCATGTGCAGAGTGCCTAGGCCAGTTTGAGACTGATTGAACTTATACATGCAGGAGTAAATAGACTCCCAATCGCATTTTCATCGGTGTCTTTGTCCCACTAAGAGAAATTTAATTTAGTCCAATTTCAGTCGGACTAACATGTTTACACGTACTTTCCGGTGTTAGTTGGCCTAAAACAATAGTTTGATTTTCTTAGCGTGCATGTAAACGTACTGACTGTGACTGGTGTGCTCTGGGAGAGTACAGTTTGGCAGGAGGGTGGCGTTGACGTCTTCCCTGGCTGACACGATGTGGGTGCCCAGCCTCAGTTCCAAGCTGCAGGCTTCAGCTGATGGCCAGCTTACCTGACAAGTTTGAAGTTGCCCTTGGTGCCTGGAATGTCTGTGGGGAACTCGTCGGGGGTGCTGCTCCCACACGAGCGGTAGCACTCTGGCCTGGGACAGCTGAGGTCATCCAGCTTGTATATCTGTGGTCAGGCAGTGGTGGGCATGAGCAAATAGGCAGTGCAAACCAGGAACCCGGCGCAGACAGCCCCCCTGGCAGTGACCAAGCCCCTCACCTTGGCATTGGCATAGCCCAGCTTGATAGTGATGTTCCTCTCCAGTTCGTTCTTGAACCTGACGGTGTGCACCCCCGAGATGGCTTTCACCACCGTGGACTTCCCATGGGCCACATGTCCGATGGTGCCTTGGCAAGGAGTATGGTGGGATCAGCAAAAAAGAGACGGAAAGAACAAGCTACAGTGATCTGTTTGTGTGCGTGAGACCTACCGATATTGATGGTGGCCTGCCTGCTGATGATTTCAGGGGAGAGTGGCGACAGTGTGCTGACATCCTGTGGGGGTGGGGGGGGGGTCAACCACAGAAATGTTTTACATACACGCAGTCCTTCATAAAAACCGTCTACCTCCAGTTCATACAACAGTCTTCACCAGTAGTTCTCAATCCTGTTCCCGAAGGACCTCTGCCAGAATGTTTTCATTTCAACCCACACTGCTATCAACCTGCCACATTTAATATTAGCCTATTAAGGACCATATAAGCCTGATTAAGGTAGGGCTGAAATGAAAACATTTGAGAACAACTTAAGGGTCTTGCTCAAAGAGCAGACAATGATATCACTTCCTATGTTGTATTCAACTCCTTGCTAAAGACACAGAATGCTTAAATAAATTTAAAAAAAAAAAACAGCCCGACCCATGACTAAATTTTTATAGTGTGAAACAGTTACAAGTTAGAGATGGTATGTACAATCGTAGCACATGATCTGAGTCTTCAGTTCAGGGTGTGGGGAAAACGCCCGCCGCACTAGACAGGGGCTGATTACCGTAACATTAAACACTAAGGGTTGTGTGACACTGGTTTACAGCGACTCCAAACTCTGTAGAGGGCCGCTGTACGAAGGTCCGTACACTGTACAGTTACAGCTAAAACCCAGTTTAACGACGGCATTTATAAGGCATCATCCACGTTACCAGCAACAACTGATGGTAATTTCCCGTGTCTGGAGTTTCCTGGCACTCCGCGGGCGGGTGACCCGAGGCATGTAACGGGGCTCAGGAGGTATGTTAGGCGGAGTAGGGCTTTGGCGTATGTGTTGTGAAGATCCCCATTGACCGGAGAACCATGCCGCCGTGGGTCCTACATCACTCGCATCATGTGCGGTCTGGCTACCGGCTTTCATTACCCGCCCATACAGATATACGCGGCCCGATGCGTCTTTACACAAGCCGATGCAGATCTTAACCTTACTCTCGACGGGCTCGGTAAGAAAGAGACATTTACTCACCAAGGAACTTAAATCCTGTTTAAAAAGATGGGGCTGCCCCAGTGTTACTCCCGACTCGTCACCCGCCATCTTGAGCGAAAAAGAAAATTGGGAGCCACCGCTGCCGCCTGAATGATTTTATTACAGGGCCGTAATTTTAAAAGGCATTTATCAGAACGAATTTATTTATTATACATAATACCATGACAAATTAAACTCATGTAGTTATCGAACCACGCAGGTCAACTGATGTTTTTAAATGGACTTTTGATAATAAAAAATAGGCGTAGTGTGTCCGTTGATAACGGGTGATGCAATAGTGTAGGTTGCGTAGATTACTTTAGCTGGAAAATAACCTCTTTGAACAGAAATATTAAGCAAGGTCCTCTGTATGGTAGTTGTATACAGCCATCGATTTAAAATGCTCTCTTTGGTTTAATGAGACATCAGTTTGACTTTATGGTCAAATTTAAACTTCAGGAATATTTGGGGTCCGTCCCCTCTTTCTGACGTCATTATACCAGTTTTTTGTAGTTTAATGCTTTTGGAAATAAACTGTAGATATCTAAAAACAAGAAAGCGTAGAAGGCATGTAAGATTATTTGAAACTGTCAAATTCTGTATTTTTTTCCTATTTGTCTTATCCTCGACGCATTTGTATATGTACCCCTGGCAAGGTTTTACATTTTGTATGCGGACTATGTTCCTTGTACATCTTTTATCTTTATCAATAAATGTGATTTGGGAGAATAAAGGAGAAATAATATGTAACAGATTATGGATTTCTATTTTTAAATTGTCTATGTTTGTACTGTTTTGTTTGTACAGTAATTTAACGTCAGTAATGCTTTAACAAAACGTTATCTGGTGTATAGTTGTTTTATATATTGTATACGGCTGCACATTTTTCTTGAATTATTTAAAGAGCATATATTTCAACAGAGAATTTTTTATGAGGAAAAAATAAACGACTTTTATTGGTGCTTTGACAAAATTTGAAGGAAAATATTCAAAAGGCTTTGTCCGTGGATCCTGGACTGTGCCCAGAACTGCCTCAAATATTGCTGCTTTCTGACCCGCGAGGCTGCGTCACCGAAAATGCCCAGATTCATTATCACTCATTGAATTATGACCACTGGGCGCTGGATTAAAGAATGAGCTCACTGTACATTAATATCTATGCATTATTCCCTTGTTATTGCATACTGTACGGTGTGCACTGCACGCTGTTCCCTGTACATTAGCTATACAGTATACCCTGTTTATTGCATACTGTACGGTGTGCACTGCACGCTGTTCCCTGTACATTTTCTATACACTATTACTTTTTTATTGTATATTGTACGGTGTTCACTGCCCACTGCTGCCTGTTCATTGTACATTGTTGTCTATAAACTAACCACGTATATCGTATATTATACGGTGTCCACTGCACGCTTCCATTTCCTGGTGACTGTACAACATTAACCATGCATTATTCCCTGTTTATCGTATACTGTACGAAGTTCACTGCTCCCTGTTCACTGTACAGTGGATAGAGCCTGAGAACCGCAGGAAGTGACGTCAGTGCGGCGAAGAATATGGCGTCTGCGAGGGCTGGGAGCGCTGTATATGGACACTGTTTTGTTATCGAGTGTCAATGATGGTAGCTGGGAAAAGCGCAGGAAGCGAGCATAGCCGCTGACGATGAGCGTTTGAAGACCGGCGCGTCGCTCCGGGTATCCAGCGTCACTCCATGTCCGAAGGGGCCAGAGCCGCCTGGTCGAAGCGGGGCTGCGTGGAGCCGCATCGCCGAGGTGAGCGCTCGGCGCCCCAGTGTCAGTGACGGACTGCCGGAGCCCGGCAAAGGATTTAAAGCGCCGTACCTGCGTGGGGAAGCGGCCACGCAGCCGGCTATGTGACGGTCGTACGGTTATAACTGGAAATGAGGGCCGTGTGAGCGGGATATTTATAACCAGCCTCACCTCTGGCGTCATGCAATTAAAGGTCACGTTTGGCATTTAAACAACAACTACATGTCAGCGTGGGTTGTCACCGCACGACGATGTGCAGTGCTTTTACATTCAAACATGGATTCGTTTATCTCGATGCAAGTCGGTCTGCATGTAACTTTATCCACACAGGATGTCTAACAATGAAATTATTTTCAATCGATACTCCCATGCTGTGTTGCATGCCTTTTTGGTACCTTTGGTAGCTGTGGTATCTTCTCTAGCGCTGATCTTAAACAGCAAGTGGATATGAGATGCTCCGGTTCATAAAAAGGATGTTGATTGGCACTGTAACTGTTGGGCATCGCATTAGACAGGTGCCATCGTAGTTGACATAAGGACACTGCTGTTGTGTCGGTTGACACAAGGAGGCTGCTGTGTGTTCCTGCCATGCAGTTGGCATTGTCTGTGGTAGGCGGCATTGCAAACGGGTTGGTTTGTGGGGTCCTGATGTTCCCTCCCTCTGTGTGTTTGTCACTTCACAGAGCAGGGGAAATACAAGCAGAGAAAATGTGAGCTGGCCCTCGGTACCTCGTCAGGCAAGCCCGTGTTAGGCCCCGAGGGACCCAAGAGGTAGACCCCCGCCCCCCCCGGGCCTCTCTGATGCATGTTTACTCTGAATGATTCGCAGTGGGTTGGTTCCAGTGGTGGATCAGTAGGATAACAAAGTCATGTTGTGTGGTCACGTGTGTCTGTTTGCGTGTGTGACCCCCCCACCGCCCTCCCCGGCACAGGTGTGACATGGCAGGGGACGTGGAGGTGTACCTGTCACAGGCCCATGATGGCAGTGTGTCCTCTGGCTTCCGTGCCCTCTACGAAGAGCGCCTCCTGCTGGACGTCACCCTGCTTATTGAAGAGCAGCACTTCCAAGCACACAAGGCACTGCTGGCCACACAGAGCGACTATTTTCGGGTCATGTTTACTGCAGACATGCGCGAGCGCGATCAGGACCGCATCCATATGAAGGGGCTGACAGCAGCCGGATTTGGACACGTGCTGCAGTTCATGTACTACGGCACACTGGAGCTGAGCATGCCCACCGTGCAGGAGATCCTGCAAGCCGCCATGTACGTGCAGCTCACTGAAGTGGTAGAGTTCTGCTGCTCATTCCTGCTGGCCAAGATGTGCCTGGAGAACTGCGCCGAGGTCATGCGCCTGCTTGAGGACTTCAGCGTTGCCGTGGAGGGCGTGCAGGAGCAGCTGGATGCCTTCCTGCTCGACAACTTTGTGCCGCTGATGGCTCGTGCTGACTTCCTGTCCTACCTGAGCCTGGAGAAGCTGCTGGTGTACTTAGACAGCGACCGGCTGAGCCGCTTCCCCGAGATTGAGCTGTATGAGGCAGTGCAGGCCTGGCTGCGGCACGACCGCCGTCGTTGGAGGCACACGGATGCCGTGGTGAAGAGCCTGCGCTTCTGCCTCATGACGCCCGCCAACATCTTTGAGAAGGTGAGTGGTCCAACAGTGCGGGGCATGCCAGTGGGTCACGATGCCCAGTGCGGAGCATGCTAGTGGGTCATGGTGCCCAGTGGAGAGGGATGGCGTGGGGGGAGTGTAGTGGGTCACGGAACCCAGTAGGGGGCATGCAGTGGGTAACAGTGTCCAGCCAGGGGCTCTCTCTCTGTCTCCCCCTGACCGTTCCTATCTCCCATCAGGTGAAGACCTCGGAGTTCTACCGCTACTCACGGCAGCTGCGGCAGGAGGTGGAGCAGGCGCTTAGCTACTTCCAACAGACCAACGAACAGCCGCTGCTGGACACCAAGGCCAACCGCATCCGGTCGGCGCGGCCACAGACGGCCGTCTTTCGTGGCATGATCGGCCACAGCATGGTGAACAGCAAGGTGCTGCTGCTGCACAAGCCCAAGGTGTGGTGGGAGCTGGAGGGTCCGCAGGTGCCGCTGCGACCCGACTGCCTCGCCGTCCTCAACAACTTTGTCTTCCTGCTGGGCGGTGAGGAACTGGGCCCTGACGGCGAGTTCCATGCCTCATCCAAGGTGTACCGCTATGATCCACGGCACAACTCCTGGCTGCGCATGGCCGACATGTCGGTGCCACGCTCCGAGTTCGCTGTGGGTGTGGTGGGCCGCTTCATCTACGCCGTAGCGGGCCGCACGCGTGATGAGACCTTCTATTCCACAGAGCGCTACAGCATTGCTGAAGACCGCTGGGAGTTTGTGGACCCCTACCCCGTCAACAAGTACGGCCATGAGGGCACCGTACTGGACGGTAAGCTCTACATCACTGGCGGTATCACGTCCTCCTCCACCTCCAAGCAGGTGTGCGTCTTCGACCCCAGCAGGGAGGGGGTGCCGGAGCCCCGGGGCCGCCGGGCTACCGCACTCGGCGGCTGCTGGGAGAATAAATCCAAGATGAACTATGCACGCTGCTTCCACAAGATGATCTCGCACAATGGCAAGCTCTACGTGTTTGGGGGCGTGTGTGTGGTGCTGCGCGCTTCCTTCGAGTCGCAGGGCTGCCCGTCCACCGAGGTGTATGACCCACAGGCCGACGAGTGGACCATCCTGGCCTCCATGCCCATTGGGCGCAGCGGCCACGGTGTGGCGGTGCTGGAAAAGCAGATCATGGTGTTGGGTGGCCTCTGCTACAATGGCCACTACAGCGACTCCATCCTGACCTTTGACCCGGAAGAGAACAAGTGGAAGGAGGATGAGTATCCCAGGATGCCTTGCAAACTGGATGGGCTGCAGGTGTGCAGCCTGCACTTCCCAGAGTATGTGCTGGAGCATGTGCGGCGCTGTAGCTGAGGGGCGGAGTGCCTCCTGCTGACACCCTCTAGTGAAACCCAAACTGTTGGTTTTTTTCTGTAGTACCCATCTTTGTGGCTACATTATGTCTCTGCAAGCCTAGCAAAATAAATACACTAAATAAGGACAGGAGAGCATAAAACAGTTTATACCTGTTGGAATAATTAATACTACAGTCAAATTCTACCCCTTTTATTCTCTAGACCAGAGCTTACTTGAAGACAAACATGTGACTGACCGGGATTTGGGTGCCCCATCAGGGTTTGGTCATTTTAGATCGTTTTTAAAAAGGCAGATTTTTCAAAAAAAAAAAAATCAAAAGAAAACTAAAGATTTTTTGCAGATTTCTGGAATAATTGTTTTCCACCAATCATGACCAGCGATCCCTACAAATCCGTCTCAAGTCTTTTTATTTCCAGCTGTACCTCTGGGTCTTTAAATCTTCCTGTGATGTCATGCCACTTCCTGTGATGTCATGCCATTTCCTGTAATGTTAGGCCACTTCCTGTAATATTAGATCTGGAATTTGTCTGTCCGTGTGCAATGCTGGCAGGCAGGGACCAGAACTAAAGAAATGCGATGTAATGTGTGTAAAAGAGGTGATGAGTTACCTGCAGTTGGTGGGCTACATTTAGGTGGGGGGTTATTTGGGGGGGGGGGTGCACTGCACTGTCTGAGGTTGGAATGTTTATGGCTTCCAGAGTGTGTAGATCGCTGTCTGATCGTCTGTCTGTCTTTCCTGCTGTATTTATTTCCCGCTCGTGTGTCCTGTGTTTCCTTTGCCTTTATAAACGCTCCCTGTCACAGCCGCCTGCTGCCGCGTTTGCTCCTTCACTCTCAGACCCTGGTGACTCTGAGGATGACCTGGGCGTATCTCTGATGCCCCTGGCTGCTCTTTGGTCTTGCTACACCCTCGCCCTCTGCCCCATCCTGCACCTCCACGCCACCACAGGCATCTTGCCGTTCTCCTTAGCGGGAATGAAGCAGGTGTGTTTGCCCGTCCCCCCCCCCTGCTGTGTGCCAGTCCTGCTGCAGCTGCCGGGGGGGGGGGGGGCTTGCTGAATGTCCCCATCGCTGGGCGACCTTGCCGTCGGTCCCAATGGAGCAGGATCGTCTTTCACCTGTCCGTTCTCGCTGCCTCCACGTTTGTACATTTCTGAGCTATTTCAGTCCATTCAATACTCTGTACAGATATAACCCCCTTCGTCCCCCAGCACATCACCACCTCTTCTTACACTCTATCGCTCCAATCCTCTCCTCTGCCAAAAATGACATATTCGCTTGTAGATGACAGATTTCTAGGAAATATGAGGATTACTGACGGTATAGTTATTGCTGACTGGCTGCTCACTGCAGAACTTCACTCCATAAATAAACGTTCATACTGTACAACCTGCTCTGCTTGCTGTCTGGTGAGACATCTGCCGGTGTCACTGCGTGCTGCTCCAGGCAGAGTGCAGCTTGTGTACTCTGTGTCTTTGAGTATCTGACTGTACCTTGCACATTTGTGTCTGTGTTTGTGTGTGTCTGTGACTCTGCTCTGCATATTTGTGACTGTGTGTGTGCGTGTGTACTCACCGTGTACCTGTGCCCGACTGTGTGTTGTGTGATTGCTGTGTGTCTTTGCCCATCTGTGACTGCCCATCTTTGATTGTGCACTGTGTAGTCACTGCGTGTCTATGCCTGTCTTTGACTATGCTGTGTTCTCACCATGTGTTTGTGTCCGTCTGTGACTGTGTTGGTGCCCAACTGTGACTGTATGCTGTGTACGCACTGTGCGTCTGCCCCTGACTGTGACTGCTTTGTTCTCAGCATGTGTCTGTGCGGGACTGTAACTGTGTGTTTGCACATGTGCATGTGTGAGACCAGGCTCACCGTAAAGTTTGTGATATACTCTTGTGTGAGTTTCCCCATCTGCAGCACCATCAGCTAAAAGCATGACTCTTCTTCGTACCTGGCCTTCAGTTCACCGATCCATCCAGTCACGTGACCCGAGGCCTGTAGTGCAGAGACAGCAGTATGCTAGAGAAACATCACACACAGCTGGGTCCGGTGCCTAGAGTCAGAGGTACCAGCTATGAGTCGATGTGGCTTACTCGCCACTGGAGGCCGCTGTTCGCACAGATAGACAAACCAAAAACCTTAATGCTGCCCTCTCTTGGGAAAACACATGGATAAGGTAAGGAAATGATAGCAGAGGCTTTACTGCTTTAATTTCATAACAATAATGTGATTCTTAGCACAATTGTTTCAATATTATCTTTTTTGGACATAGCCAGTACTTGGTATTTATAAAAAAAACGTAATGATTATATTTTAAATAATTGCCAGTTATTAATAATGTTATATTTCTATGCATCTGAAATTATAAAATGTTTTTTAGATGAAATTCAACTTTACAATTGAAATGTTTTTAAAGTAAAACCGGGAGGCTTCAGAATATCCCTGAAATGTCATTATGGAATAATGTGGTACCGGAGTGTTTCTGCTCAGGAATCTTAAGAACTGTTAATTCTGAGGCAGCCTGAAGGGGGTGCTCTGGCCCAGTGTAACATGCTACTTGGGAGAGAGGTTATTTTCTCTGATTGTTGCACTCCGCCACTCTTACTTCCTCATTGTCGCTCTCCCCCCCCACGCAAGCTGGAGGTTTTGTAACTGAAATCTGACCGGCTTAGTCCTGCTCAGCCAGCTACATGCTGACAAATATGACAGAGATGAGCGTGACAAGCACTCCCAGGTACTCAAAGCGTGGGCAAGTGCCCACACACACCAGCACACACATGCAAAGAATGATGTTTACGTCCCCTGTTGTAATGTGACATTGCCACCCTCGCTGAGCACATCCTGATGCTCCACCCAATGTAGCCCATCTACCCGTATGTCACCTGCCCCCCCCCACCCTCTGAGCAGAACGCCTCCATCAGCTCAGCAAGGGCGTTTGCACCTGTGAGGAGGGACATGCAGCTCAGCAGGGTGGGATCTCCTGAAATCTCGCTTCGGATCTGGTTGCTTTGCTGTACCTTTGGATGTTTAAATACCCTCAGAAGATTTCCTGACAAACAGTTCTGGCACGACACCCACAAAACACCCCTTTCACATTTTTGTCTCTTTAAGCTGCCACATGTTCAGCTTGCTGTTGCTTTCTGCCTCTCCTCAGGCGGCTCGTGTGTGTGTGCAGTGTCTGTGACAGCCCGCTGCGGCCTGGCACTGCCCCTACGCTCGACCCCTGGGACCAGGCCGGCTCTTTCCGAAAGGGAAGTGCTGGCTGTGAGCAGAGGGGGCCGACTCCCTTCCCACTTCAAGGGAGGAAGCAGGAGAATATTCTGGCGCTTTCCGTCAGCATTTCAGCTTATGTGTGCTTATGGGCGGGGTGGGGTGGTACTTTCACCACCTGGCAGGCATTACAGGTCAGGAAGAGCAGGAGCTCAAGAGGCCCTGATAGCTGTGCAGTGTCCCTGGAAGCAAGTCAGATGCCCTCAGGCATCTTCTCAACTATTTATTGATCTCCTTGTAATCTTGCCTTTTGTGTGATGGGGTGTGGGGGACGCAGTCGCTATACGAGGGCTAATCACGACAAACAGTGTATCTGACAGGAATGACAGGAAGTAGGGTAAAAAAGTAGTTAGTGAAGGTTTATTTCTTCGAAGCGGAGTTTCTAGAGCAAGGAACCACAAGCATCTTACGGGGAGTGGAGTATAAAAAAAATGCTGTAATTTATATGGCCCATCACTGCCAGTGAGATTGCTGACGGGCACAAACTGTCTCATGACCACCAGCTCAGGCAGCTGACACCCATAGAGCGCTGCGTGCTGACAGGGCACCAAGAAGCCCAGCGTAGTCTGATGCAGCCACACATCTGTAAATTGCTACATATGTGCCATGTGTGTTAATGTGTAGATGACAATAGCTCAGTAGTGAGAGTGTGAGAGCTGGTGTTGGGCTGGCTGACCTCGCAGCACTTTGTAAAACAAACTGAAGGGGCATTAAGGTGGCGGCTAAATGCTGCTGCTAAATTGAGCGTGCAGTCAGGCATTTTGTCCTCTCTGTCCCATCCCTGTTGCACAAGGAACATAGTCCCGGATCTCGTCAATGTTTAACTGACTGTGAACTTCAGCCTATGGTGGGGGGGGTCTTTGAGTGTTCAAGTTTTGCTCCATGTACAGTGGCTCTGATTAATATCCTGTGCTCCTTTACCGTTCATGGAACCTCCAGGAATTGACACAGCAGCCAAAGGTTACTCTTTTATTCATTTATATTTTTTTTACTAAAGGAAGAAGCATACATATTAGTGCAGCATTACAGGAAGCGGTGCATTACATGCAGAGTTGATCAGCATTGTGGTTTGCTGGGTGGCACGACTTTCCAACATAGCAGAAGCGATCAAACGAGATCAAACTAGCATTGGGTTTGAGGCTAGTGAGCACAGATGAAGACAGAGGCCCCCGGCCGGCTAGCGCTGGCTCTGGGCCCAGCCCCCACGCCTCACTCTTCGGCAGACATCTTGAGCAGGTTCTCCTTGTCGATCTTGAAGAGGCGCCATCCCTCCTCGTGCGAGAGATCGGCGGCGCCGCGCCGCTTGTAGAACTCGATGGATGGCTTGTTCCACTCGGCCACAATGAAGTGCATACTGCTGCAGCGGCTCGACACCGCAGTCTGGAAGGGGAGAGACAGCCCGTCAGGCAGAGGAGAGGAGGACGGGGGGGAGAGGAACAGGGAGGAGAGCAGCATTGCCTCAGCCGCCAACAATACTCACATGACTCAGGTACTTTAAGATCTCTGACCCGATTCCAAAACCTGATGGGGAGGAAACAGACAGCTGAGCGAACGTACAAATGCTCCAGGCTGAGCAAAGAAAGGGGCGGGTACAGGGAGCTCACCTCGATACTCTTCCATCACATAGAAATCTTCCAGGTATAGCAGTTTGCCGATCCAGGGGTCATATGTGAAGTAGTACATGGCGAATCCAACTACAGCATGACCTGGAATGCAAGTAAAAGTAACTTGTATGAATGAGACTAACTGTTCGATGTCTCTGAGTAATAAGCATTACACTGCAGAACAGCGAAAATTCCTTCAGTGCAGAAACACCAGGGGGAGCCGGCGCCCGGGGCTGCGGGAGAGGCCAGAACACGGAGAGGTTGCACGCACCTTTGGCGCCATTGTGGTCCCTCGGCACCTCCGACACGACGCAGTGGTAGAATGGGTGATCCCCGAAGCCGTCCTCGAGCAGCTCTGCGGGAGCAGAGAGTTACGTAATCGCTTACGTCACCGCGGGGTGGGGGGGGGGACCCAGAGTCCGAGCAAAACAAACCGTGGCCTCACCTTTCTCCGTCAACACGACTTGATCCTCCATTTGCTCATATTTAGCAAGTTCCTAGAAAGTGAAGAAAAAAACAGTTACACGTCAGGAAGCAAATGCGAGCTGTTAGCCGTGTTTTAGTAGCGGAAAAAGTTCGGTCTTATATTCACATATACCCGATCGAAAATGAGAGGATCTTAAGTTAAGCAAAATAATACATTAACCTGAATGTCAGCAATAGGCGGGGGGGGGGGGGGGGGGTTTACATTGCACCCGATCAAAACAAGATCATATCAAGTTACCCAACTTACGGCCCCTGCCGGCTGAGCCTTTCGCAAAACTCAGAAAGTTTGTTTGTCATACACATTCGGAAAGAGTTTATTCTTCCAAAGTTACGAGTAACTAGGCTGCATGTGGACTTCCTTATAATCGTAAACTACCTTTATGAGTCGCAATATGTCGGGCACGTCCTTGGGTTCCGCTTTCCGCAATATAAAATTGGCCATTTTCTTCTTTTACTCCTTTTCCCTTTTCTTACTAGTCCTCTGTACGTGAAGAGAAGTAAGAGGTGTTTCTTCATTCGTTTCCCAGGAGTTTGGCCTCCGCAGTCAGTCTGGGATCCTGACTCTTCGATAATGCGATCACATGAAGATGCGCCGCCACCGCTCAGCTGTACGACGTTTCCTTTGTCTGCTCTGCTTTTTATATAACAACTGCGTGTTTTTTCACCCGTGTCCCGCCCAATCAGAAGTGAGAGCCGGCAGCACGTCATCGCCCACATTCGTTGCACTCACATGTCTGGTATACACATTCTCCGGAGTGGGAAAACGCTCTGAGTGTTAAGGTTGAGCATAATCTCCGGAGACCTGTCTTCAGAAGCACCTAGAAAACACAGGGAAAAATGTCGCTTCATTAAAAATTCCCTCACGTGGCTGTAAATATGTATAGGCTAGCAGATTGCGCCGTGTATCTGGTGAAATATTCTTCACAGTACGATAGCCAAAATCCAACACCTGTCAAGACGGAACGCACCGGTTCTTTTTGGGTTTTTTTGTACGCAGTTTTGTGCATGCTTTTTATGTCTTGAGTGGCCCATT